TTCGCAAAGTCGGATACCTGGGCTGTATGGATGACCGCTGGCCCGCGCAAGTCCATGATAGCAAGACTGCCGTTTTGAAAGCCGGCAGCAACGAAGCCCACATGGCTATGTTTCACAGCAGTCACGGGTCCCTGTTGCATATTCAGAAGGGTGAGCGGAAGCATGCCTTGTTTTAGCCCAGGATCAGTTCTGTGGGTGATCCGAGTTAGCTTCCCGGCTCCTTCATTTGTACCTGGTGGCTCCTCGCGGCCGAAATTTCCATTATTGCCCCATCTAAACACCACGACCTCGCCGCTCTTCAAACCAACTGAGAGTTCGCCTGTAGACCCGCTGACAGACATTTCAGCAACTTCCACATCAGCAACACGCCCAACAGCGCGGGCCAAGTCTACTTGGATGACATCGGCGTTTTCGATTTCATCGTCATGGCCTACATCCCAGAGACGTATCGTTCCGTCCGCGTGAGCGGTGGTAATGATGTTACGGTTCTCGAACCGCTTCAGAGCCTTTTTGCCTTCTGCACCGCCGATCAAAAATTTCGGGCCTTGCGATCTCCGTTCCCGAAGGCCCAGCCAGGCGGAACGGTCAATAGGTGTCATGGCAATTTTGGTGACAAAAGGGTGGACAAAAGAAAGGAAGGGGTGGATCATATTCGAGGGTGTGATGGAATGACCACTGGGAAAACTTAGAGTGATAAGTTCTCCCGAGGAAAGAAGCGCAATCACAGCGATGGGGTCATGGGCGCCAGCATAGAATGGCGAGGAGCGGGGAATGAGGCAAAAGTCGACGACCTCTGCACCTGGAGGTGCTGGAATATCCTGAACTTGTTTTGGATTTTCGAAATAATTGCTGATCATTGGCCATGTTGATGTCTGATAGTTTGGAGTTGGTCCAAAGTCTATGAATGTCAAACCCTTGTTACTATCGGCCTTTGGCCGACCACCCGCAATAAGAAGGCCGCTGTCCTCTCCATTGGCCTTAACGCACCATGCAACCTGAGTAATAGGCTCTCTGAAGATGGCTTCAGCCGTGGAAAACCGTCGATTTGGGCTGGCGCCAGGTTCGTCGATATGTGTATTCTCCATCGTCCGGGCGAGGATCTTGCGGCCATCCTTCGAATCCCAAAACACCAGGCTGTTGTCGTCATGAACGGTCAGAACAAAGATACCGTTAGGATGCCAGAGCGCTCTGGTCAGTTTGGGTCTGCGTGTGTCCTGGGAGGGTATCTCAGAATTGCCCCCAACTGCACCAGGGGGTACTTCATATTGGAAGTACTTTTGAGCGATGTTCTGTTTGAATGTGAAGGTGACGGCTCCTTCGGGATATCCAACCAGTATCTTGCCAATATCTCGAGGTGAAAAGGCCAGAGAAAGGACTGGACACAGTCGCGCCCGCGGATTGCGCTCGGCCCAGAGATTAGGTACTCTAAACGGTGTCAAGGACTCCCTGTCCAGATCGTAGGCAATAATGTCCCCTGCAAAGAGTGGTTAGCAAAAACCTTCACAAGAAGTGATTACATGCCCACACACCATTCTGTAGACCAATGAAGGCATAGTCCAGACTAGGATCTGTCAATAGGGCGGTGGCATGGCTCGGCGGAGCGTACGAAACCAGCGCTTTCTGAGTTTCAAGTGAGAAAATAGTAATTTCGCTCTTCGAGTCGACGCTGATCAACTTGTCGGCGCAGAACTGGAGGAATTTGGCTGATGCCTTCCGCGGCAAGGAAAAGACGGCGGAAACCCTGCGCTGTCCAAACACATAGATCTGCCCACTGCCGAACTGGGTGTCGCTGGTACCAACGGCCAGAAGAGACTGGACGGGATCGTATGCAAGCACACTTATTTGCGAGTTCACACCACACCGAGCGTACTGCGAGTAGAATTGAGGTCAACAAGATGGCTCAAACGGGAAAACACCGGTGCCTAGGGCAGCCAAGACATACATCATCAAGGGCGAACAGGTCTGGTGAGAGACCGTCGGAGAAATCTTTCTGTATTCCTGCCTGCTTCCCCCGTAGGAAGTGTGCCATCTTGAGGAGATCAAGGACTCTGCGCACGAATACAAGGATAGTGCAGAGAAAGGAGAAAGAGAAAACCCCAGGAGCATGAACTATCCAGAAGATGATGATGCGCTCCTTCAAAGGGTGCGGAGTGGACGCGCCCCACCAAGAGAGACTGCCCGATTGGGGATAGCGCAGTTCCTACCACGGAATTTTTGATTTCACCTGACGACATCAGCTTTCTTTATTTGTTGACTGCTGCTGCCTCGCTCTTGGCTGTTATCACAGGCCACAGGCAGAGAACAGACTTAGAAAAAGCGAGTAAGGAAGGATCGAATTGGGTCTTCAAGTAAAATTATATGCTTAGTAGTCTATGTACATGGTGTGACGGGAAGATATGAGCTCAAGGCACGGAGAGGTACCTGTTGTCTAAAGCTGCATGTCTCTAAGACGGTAATGATAGGGCAGATAGTCTGATGTGAGTCCGTTCCGCGCAATCGCTGCCGACTAAACATCCACATGGGTTTCAACGACCTCAATTGCAGCCATCTCTGTTAATACTCTGGTTAGCCGTCTTCGTGCTTCGATTTCGGCTGCTGAGTTTCTCTCCCGATAGTATTGAACGGTGATGTTGTGAATCGAACGGTAACAGGCATATCTAGAAAATGCCCATTAGCATTTCCTTGTCTTCAATAAGAACGACGGGGATTCGACCCTTACAATAATTGACGGATCAAGTCCGGCTCACAGTCAATGTCACGCGATGCGAACCCATCCAGCACGGCGGGCGATGGGTCTTCAAAAATCTCCCCCATGTAGACGTCGCCCCAGAGAGCGCTGTCAAACCCTGCAATCCCAGCTAACTGTTTCGAAACAGGGTCCAGCAGCACAGCTGAGGGCCGGCCAAAGTCGCATATCACGAGCCGCGGTGATGTAATCTCGTCTAAGACAGGAGACAGTCGACCGACCTGATGCCGAATCTCCGCATAGGGAAGATGGACGAACACGTCTTCCGAGTCGCGAAGGATGCTCTCGAAGTGCACGAGGAAGGCTTCTCGCCATGACCTTGTCCCTGATCCCAAAGCCACCTGCTCCAGGGTCCCGAACGAGTTAGCAGTGTGTTGACCGATCAGGTTCACGAGAAGCCCCAATTGCCGGTCGAGCTCTCGGCGATCTTCGGCGGTAAGTCGACTTTCCAATTCCTGTAACGTTGAGCCGTGAATATATTGACGCACAAGGAAGGCGGACCCTAGTAGGGTGTCCTGCGGGTCGTAATATAGGAGCGAGGGAACGCATGGAACTGCACTTTGTCTTAGTAGACGAAGTACACGCGCTTCTGTTCCAAGCAGGAACTGTTCTCGCCGAAGCAAACGCGTGGTTGGTCTTGGTGAGCTTTTCAAAAGTATTCGGGCCCCATTCGACAATGTTATTAGACGATGAGTATGGAGATGGCCCTCCAAACATTGAACACTTCTCACATACACCGTAGAGGGCAGAATACGCCCCAGGACGACGCTGAGTTTGTTAGGGACTTCCAATCCGATGAGTGCCAAATCTCGGCCCGGAGACATAGTTGACGATTTAGTTCTATTGCTCATGAATAAGACACTGGTGCCTTTTTAAACTTACTTGACACATTCTGAGTTCAAATGAATCAAGATGACAGGACGAATATTGTCTCAAGATGACTGCTATAGGAAAAAGGTGCAAAAATACAAGCGTCCAGAGAATACTTCAATGACTCTAGGATAAAGAGCGTGCAGATCTTTCATGGCAAACCATCATTGGCTGTCCCGTGGCTCAGGCAATGTTACCAAAGCATCGAGGTCATACTGAAACGGCAGCCAAGGCATGGTGGTTGGGTGATTCAGTGTTCCCGCTTCCACGTAATGGCAATATTACCTGGAGAACAAATCATAATTGTATGCCGTCAGGAGTCCATGGAGCATTGTCCGAAAAGGGTGCGCTGTAGACGAGATATGAAGCAAAGACCCTGGCCCGCAGGCATCAACCGAGTTCCAGAGGCGAGAACGTAGCGACATGGCGCCTTATGGGCAGAGAGAGACGTTCATGCCGTACGATAATACGTTGGCTGTAAAGACCGATGGGTCCTGGATGGGATCTACCAGGGGGCCTCTTCAGAGCAGTTACTCTAGTGAGCTCTGCCACAGTAGATCCACACCACAGGAGTGTTCGAGGTGATCCGAGTGATAGGATAAACTGGGTCTCGCCTAAGTCTCCCGCTCTGAGAAAGGCGCAATGTAGGCTACTATATTCGAGCCAATCAGAAGTCTGCTTTGCCGAAAATGATAAAGCACAAGACCAGAGTGCGTAGTGGGAACTTCGTAAACCATGGGAAGAAGATGGGATATTCACGCTTATTTTTTGAGAGCATATTTCAAATGCCCCAGTATGCACTGGCCATTGAGAAATACGGGTTCTCGGGAAAAGCGTGCTCGGTCTTTCCTGCCACTTGTTATGCAAGAACAAGAAATCGCTCGTATTCTTTCATTTACATTGTGGACACAGTATGTAAACCCCCAGTGATTCCCCGGTACTGTGTACAATTGTCAAAAGACTATGGATCGTGGCTGGAGAATACGTGAAGTCGTGTTCCAGCTGTTGTACCATTGGGTCCGGAGTCGCTTGTTCATACAGCCAGGTCATTCCAGGCAAATCCTAAGGGAATCTGACAAGTTCTAGAAGTCTACCCAAGCGGAAAATTTGATTATCAAGCTTGAGCCAATTTGGAAGGCTGCATGTGATATTCAGAGTCCCAGTTAATCCGTAGAGACGCCGCTCACCTTCCTCATTTCCCTCTTTTTGCAAGGTATTCTGACCTAATTGATGTGGCCCGAAAGTCGTTGACCCTTGATGTGAATTCGAGTGTTACGACCCGTGTCGGTGATAAGTCAAATGTTATATTTGGATCGGTCCGGACGTCGCTGCCCGCGATGTCGCAGAAATGTGAAGACGCTGTGAACACTCGATACACCCTTTTTCAGAATCCCGAATTTTCAGGAGCCTGAGACTTAGGAGTCGGACTGTATAACTCTGCCAAGTTGTATCGTTTCAGTTTGTCGTAATCATTACCGGCAACACTTATCCCGACTACATTCTGATCGAGTTTAATTATGATTAGTGGGATGAAGCACAGGATTATATATCGGGCCAGCCTGCATATCAGGCAACTCACCTGGATCAGATGGACAAGGATAATCAAATCGTAATTCTTGAGATCAACAGAATGTTCGGGACCTACGACATCTGCAATCGTTTTGATCACAGTATCTCTGTTGAATTTATTGTTGCCCCTTATTGTAGGCCGAATAGCGTACTGTTTGTAGAATTGATTAATATCAGCACCGCCATTTCAGACAACGCAGGTAATGCAACACAAGGAAAAACGACGCACCTTCTTCGGAGGTCCTCCGGAGTGGAAGTGAGGCTTCAAAATATCTTTTGCGAACGCTTCTAGATCAACACTGAGGGTTTTTCGAATTGATCTGACAGGAGTCATCCGCTGGACCCATCGACACCTCTTCTTCTCGGGATTTGCGTGAGCATCAAGACAGACTTCGTGAACTAATTTCTCAGGATCTATCGACTTGTCAAATCGTATGAATGTCACTGTCAAGGAATCAGCCCAATGTCATGCTATGATGGGACTCAAGGGGTGACAATGACGAACCGCAGGGCATTTCCATTCTAATGGCTTGGAATTGACGTGGTTTGGCTGACCCAGGCTTCAAGCCCTCAATTTCTTTTTTGATTTGTGCCTCAATGTCGCCTTCATCCTCGTCTGAGCCTGAGTCTTCACCTCTGGAGTTGCTGCCTGCTGACTCAACGCTCTGATAGATACCGTGCATCAGATTGGGAAAAGTCATATAGTGCAGCAAGACGGACTGATCTTGGCATGATACTGACCTGAGAGAAGAGATCCAGAGCTTCTGCAATGCACTTGCCTTCCCTGCCCATATCACAAGTTACGAAAACCCCCCAATCGCCGCTCTCAATTATCGCCTTGTTGCCTTGCTGCTTCTGCCATTTGCCGCCTCCCTGTGGTTGCGTTAGCCATACAAAATATAAGAAATATTGACAATGACGGAAAATCTTCAGAATAACAGGCATGAGAATCTCTCGTATAAAGTGCCGTAAGGAAGCGAACCTTTCTTCTCTTGCTGGATTGATCGGTTGTGTTATCAGGCATAGCTCGCTTTTCCGCTCCAGCCATTCACACTGATGCCGAGTTGATGGTGAAGTAGTGATAGGATAGACTTGCTGATGAGTGCAAAGCCGTGTCGATGAGTCTCTCTTTCTGGCAAAATATCCAGTTGAAACCAAGGAGCCAGCACCTTTCAAGGTCGTATTGCACCGCGAGTGGTTATCTACTTAGTCTGCAATCCGACCCAGTCATTGGTGAGCTGAAAACACCAGAGCTTTAGAGGGGTTTCTATCTCAAAAAGTCCAAATTCCATAATTGGCTTAGTGGATAGTGGGACTAGTGGGATGATCAACTTATCACCGTGGACCTTATCATGCTAGGGCCGGGATATTCGGACTTGGGCTGGAACCAGATGAGGAAAACGGCTCTTATAGTACAACCAAGCTTTTACGGAGTACGAAGATGGAATTGCACCGTTTTTGACCAGGAGAATAATTTTGGAAAACCTGTAAACCAGCGGGATATTGGCTTCTTATACTGCCGTACCTAGAATGAAGGTCACAAATACATTGTTTAAAACACTTAAATCGTGCCAGTGCTCACTATAAATCTACTTTTGCCGGAAGCACCACTCATGGCCCCATCTCAGCTAAATCCAGCAGAACATCATGACATCACGTTATGCTCATGACGACACCTCAACACCCTGAAAGATGGCACAACATCCATTGTTCCTACGGAGTATTTTATATCTTCGACCCTGCCCCTGCGTCAAAAATTTTTTGTTCGCTTATACAGCTCTCCTTACAATATAACCTCACTGTTCAACCGAAGCTCATAATGGCCACTGACATTGCTACAAGGGAGCTTCGCAAGCCTATTGACGTCGCTGAATACCTATTCCGGCGCCTCTATGAGGTTGGAATTCGCTCAGTGCATGGTGTTCCTGGTGAGCGATCTTCTCTAATTGGGAGTCCCTATTCAAAACTCTGGCGTTGACCATACCACTTCAGGTGACTATAACCTCGCGGCTTTGGACTATCTCCCAAAATGTGGTCTTCACTGGGTAGGAAACTGCAACGAGCTCAATGCAGGTACGTAGTGCGGTGTCATTGATTGAAAGCAGCTGGTTCAGGCAAGATGGTGCAGTGTCTGATACCTCGACTTATAACAGGGTACGCCGCTGATGGGTATGCCCGAGTGAACGGAATCAGTGCATTGATCACGACTTTTGGTGTTGGTGAGCTGTCAGCGATCAATGCCATTGCTGGTGCATACTCCGAATTCGTACCTATTGTCCATATCGTTGGTCAGCCACACACCAGGTCTCAGAGAGACGGAATGCTGCTTCACCACACCCTCGGCAATGGGGACTACAATGTCTTTGCAAGAATGAACGCTGGTATCTCTACGACTGTCGGACGCTTAAATGATACCCACGAAGTAGCGACACTCATTGACAATGCTATCCGAGAATGCTGGATCCGAAGCCGGCCCGTCTATATTACTCTGCCAACCGATATGATCAATAAGAAGATTGAGGGAGAACGACTGAAGACCCCGATTGACCTTTCTTTGCCAACTAATGACCCTGAGAAGGAAGACTACGTGGTGGATGTAGTTCTCAAGTATCTTCACGCAGCTCAAAGACCGGTTATTTTGGTCGATGCTTGCGCCATCCGTCACAAAGTGCTAGAAGAAGTTCATGACCTTATGGAGGTCTCCGGACTGCCAACTTTCGTGGCGCCGATGGGCAAAGGAGCAGTCAACGAGACGCACAAGAACTACGGCGGTGTTTACGCTGGAGACGGATCCAACACTGGTGTCCGAGAAGAGGTGGAGTCTTCCGATCTGATTCTTAGCATTGGCGCGATCAAATCGGACTTCAACACGGCTGGTTTCACCTACCGCATTGGTCAATTGAATACCATCGATTTCCACAGTACATACGTGCGAGTGCGATACTCCGAGTATCCGGACGTCAACATGAAAGGTGTCTTGAGAAAGGTCATTCAGAAGTTGGGCCGTGTCAATGCCCAGCCGGTGCCGCAGCTGAGCAACCAAGTGCCCGACGATGAGCCGAAGTCGGGTGATCAGCCAATCACACACAGATGGTTCTGGCCGAAGGTCGGCCAGTGGCTCAAGGAGAACGACATTGTCATTACAGAGACTGGCACTGCAAACTTTGGCATCTGGGAAACGAGGTTCCCAGCTGGTGTCACGGCAATCAGTCAAGTACTTTGGGGCAGCATTGGTTATTCTGTGGGAGCTTGTCAGGGAGCCGCGCTGGCCGCCAAAGAGCAGGGCAATCGTCGAACTATTCTGTTCGTCGGGGATGGAAGTCTTCAGCTCACTTTGCAGGAGATCAGTACTATGATCAGGAACAAGCTCAATCCTATTATGTGAGTTCCCCAGGCAATGCAATTCAAGTCTATGCTATGCTAATGAACAATTAGTTTCGTCATCTGTAATGAAGGATATACCATTGAGCGGTACATCCATGGGTGGGATGCGAGCTACAATGACATCCAGCAGTGGGACTACAAGAGTCTTCCGGTGGCCTTTGGAGGAGGAGATAATTACAAGGGTTATCAGGTCAAGACCAAAGACGACATGATCAAGCTTTTTGAGAACAAAGAATTCGCCTCGGCGCCGTGTCTGCAGGTAAGCAAGCATCTCCAATTTCTCGAGTCTTGGGGATACTGATCAATATGGTAGCTGGTGGAGCTATACATGCCACGGGACGATGCGCCATCAGCTCTCAAGTTGACAGCCGAAGCAGCAGCCTCGCGCAACAAATAGATTGGCTCTATAAGGGTGTTGAGAAAGGGTCAAAAACATTGACGGTGGGATATATAGAACGATGGATACTGCTCGGATTTGGCCAGATACCAGCCCATTAATGAGTTAAAATTATTTAATTGATTGTTACGCGGAGAGGACGACATGCCAATCATGAAAAAAAGGACCTGGTTAATCCAAGCGCTTTTCCCAACATCGTAATGGAAATGCGGTCGGACCGTAGGGCTGAGGCAGTGACATCGGCCGATATGCATGCTACAAGTGGACTAAAGACTCCAAGAGGAGAACCGTAGATAAAGTACACGGACAACGCCGTCACGGAAAGTGTCCGTAGGTCGGAACTCCATCCCCATAGTAAGACAAATCCCTCTCAAGTTTTCCCCCCAATTTGATTGCAACTGGAGAAGCCAAATCAGGCGTCATAGGCATGCGCAACTGAGAACAAACAGTAAATATGAAAAATAGATAGTTTACCTTAGGTTCTACCCTACCTACCTTACCTTACGTACCTTAAGGTGCAGCGAATGGAAAGAGGACCTGGACTTATCGCTGGGCCACCACGTGATAGACAAGGCATCCAGTGCATCAAAGATCCCTATGAATGAAACCTTGGGCTGGATCTCGATTGAAGGATTATTATTATTGAACTATGTTGAGTCCTTTCGGTCCATCTCCATACTCCATAGTCATGTCAAAAACTTTCTTTAATATCTATCAGTGACTGCCAAGACCTGCTATCTGTCTCCTGTCTCAGTGTCATTTTATCGATTGTTCATGGTATGTTTTCCCTTGTCAATTCACCCTCCGCGGCATTTTGCTTCCCCTCCCCCTTCCGATTCGAAAGTACGCAGAGAGTTCTACCTGCTGTCGAGGAAGGGTTACTGGATACCGATTCTGATCTTTCGGTTGCTCATCATTGGGGTAGCAGATCGATACAAAATTCGCATCTCCCGTCTACGTCCATTTATCGTACAATCAGCGCACGCATTTTGAACCCTCTCCAAGTCCGTCCCACGATCACGACAATTTTAAGCATCGACTGCTTTCTTCGAATTGCATACTGCCCACATATTTCTTCATAAGACAAAGGGGTTCGCGGGGTATGAAATGAGGTCTTGACTGCTGGTATTGGATCATGCTTGTTGACTGTCCTGCCCCGTCGTTCTCACAAGTCTCCAACAAACTCAAATGCGAGTGCGATAACGACGATTACGTCTCCGAATAACCTGTCTAGGAACACAATATAAAGCCTGACGTCTGCTTAAGACCAAGGTTTACCCTGCGAAGGCATGAGATTTCGAGGCTTGTTCTAAGACCACAGTAGAGGCTTAGGGAGACAGTTACATACGAGGGCTCATCAGCGGCTGCACACTCCTGTGCATTTCTACACTGCTGGACAAGTGGCTTGGACATAGTGGTATAAGCAGACCACAACGCTGCCCATCATGGATGGCCAAAGGCAGCAAGCGTACATACCTGCCCCCCCACCTCCTTCTGCGTCACAGCCATCTCAGTCCCATATGCTTTCGCTACCACCGCCGCCACCTCGACATCTGCCCACGCAACCTCAGAATATGATGCCGCCTCCACCTCCGGGACCACCCCCGGGACCACCTCCAGGCCCTGGATATGGTGCGTCGAAGCTCTCAAACTCTCAGTTGCAGCAGCAGAACAATCTCGGATGGCAGCATAATTGGGCTAGGCAAGCGCTATCTCAAGGGTTTCTCCCGCCTCCCCCGCCGCCTCCAATGGTACCGACAAACCAGGCTTACGGCCGTCAAACAAGTCTGTCAGTCCCCACTGGCGATGGTCCGATTACATCTGCGACTTATGTCCCGGGCAGTAACACGTTCGGTGCGGGTGTCGGGATCCCTGGGTTCGATGCCCACACGCGGCCTTCGTATGAGGCTTATGGAACCATGTCCGGGAGCGATAGGATAAGAGGACCTGTTCACCATTTGTACGAAAACTCCGGTGGAGACGTTTCAGCGCACAAGCGCGATGGAACTGTACCACCGACCCCATCAGCCCGTACATTGCCCTCTTCTTTGGCATTGCATGACACTGCGCAGGACCCCGTTGCTCCTTCCCTTCCTGTTGTTCCTAGTGCGACCGTTCAGAATCATCAGTCTCAGACTGGCCAATCGAACGAGCCGACAAAATCACCTAGCCATCGCCAAAACAATAGTAGCACGTTGCTTGGCGGCATGTCACCCAGCGAGGCTGCTCTTCAGTGGCCACTTGATCGAGTGTTGCTATGGCTTGCG